TTGGTGTCAGCAGGAGGTGCTCAGAGGGCGAATGAGCAACACGGTACTCTTTGGAAAGGTGAAAGATGCCGAGCTAATGGTGTACAACTTCAGGGGGCAAATGCAATGTAGAATGGGAGGCAAGCGAGAGGGTCCCATCGAAATGTATCCCAAATTCTGGAACTTGAACCCATTGACGGCAGACGGACGAGAAATCTTGAGAATTCCTGCCTGGAAGGAGTGCTTCGCATTGGTGAAGAGGGAGCTGGAGACCATAATGGAGAAGGAAATCCTCCCAGCCACCATGCCTGAGTTCCCAATAGTCAGGAGGATGACCTTAGGAATGAATAGTCCCTTGGTAGTTCCCTCCATAATGGCGAGGATGACGACGGAGGAAATGCAGAAGGATTTCACTGATGGCTGGGACCCCCTGTTCATCGGCTACACGGCGGCGGTCTACTTCCATACCAGCGAGACGAAGGTAAATTCGTGGACGACGCAAGCGAAAAAGAGTAGAGGTTCGCAGCCCCCAGGATATGAGGTGCGGAAGGTCTTGAGAACTCTAGAGAAGGAGGGACTTGAGAACATGTTACCCATATGGGATGATGGCAGGATGATCGTGATGGAGGGGCACGTCGCATTGGTGGACGACATGAAATTTGCCACGAGAAAATATAAGGCACCCTATGGCTTGGAACAGGTGGAAATAAGACAGGAGGGAACAGAACTAGATGCAGCAGGTCAACTGCATGTAGCACTGACGGAATACAAAAAGCTGGATCCTACGACACCATCACCACTGTCAGTGGACACGCCTGGAGACAAGAGGAGTGGACCCGTCGAGGACCGATTTAAGAAAATTCTCGAGAGAAGGAGACATGAGTCAGAAGAAGAGAGTATGGATGAAACTCTCAGTGAAGCCGGTGAAGACATGGAAGTGGGGAATACGCCTGAACCAGGGCCATCAGGGGAGGAGCTCACCACTCAAGAGCTGTTGAAAGACTTGAGCGAGGAGAATTGGGCAGATACGGCCACCCCACCCCTGAATCCGTCCCCCCGGAAGAATCTGGAATTGCCATTGGCAAGTGAAACCTTCAATATGGGGATGATACTCTTGAGCTCGGAGGAAAGGGAAAGGAACACTTTCGAAGGGAACAGGGACATATTCCTGGGATTCCTGAAGGACGATGCTTGGCAGGAGTTCTTGGAAGAATTCAATCAAGAAGTGGGCAGCGAGACGACGCTGGACAAATTCAAGGAGGAACTGTGGGACACAGTCGTAAGATTTGGAGAACCGCTTCTGATAGGAACGGGCCTGGATGAGAAGGCGAGAAAAGAGCTACTGAGCAAGCTGGTAGAGCTGAGGAATTCACGATCGAAGACTAGAGAAGAAAAATGTGAAGACAGCTCTACTCGGAGACAAAAAACTGTAGATAAAATGGTTGATGATATAAAAAGGGATAAAGTTGGGACTAGTAATATGATTAAAAGTACTAATATCCTTAAGGCTCGAGCAGGGGGGAGGCAAGAGTTGGAAGGAGTGGATGGAGAGGTCGAATCAGTGATGGTAGCCACAACACCCTCAAGTAGAGATGTGAAGACTCACAAGACGAAGAGAGAAGTGGAAGGATTGGGTAGTCCTTCCGTGGATGCTGTTTCGGAAGGAAACTTGAGAGAGACGGCGCCCATGATTTTGGCTCGATGCAAGACGGCGGCATACAAGAGCAGCTCGGAGCTCAGAAGACCACTTGAAGTAGAGAGGGAAATAGAGGTTTCCACCAGTTCGACATCGGAGGAAGACTTCAAGCCTCAGAAGATAAACGTGAAGAGAGGTTCAACGAACGGACAGACATGGGAAGTAGATGCCGGCAAAGAATGGATCTCGAAGGCACACCAGGCCACGGGCAAGCGAGTGACAAGTGATCCATTGGAGAGGAACAAGACGAGGAACACCTCCCGGACGTGGTGGGTGGCCCTTGAAACATTGAAAGAAATGGAGGACTGCTGGAAGAAGTTGGACAGTGGAGTAGCTCGCAAGCGACGCAATTGGGCCACCCAGCAAAAAGCCGAGGTTAATAGAATAGAAATGGCAAATCATCTGAAGAGGTCCTGGCAGAGTTTGTTGAAGGATCATTTTGAAGAATCAATGAGGACACCCTCATCAGCACCACCATTAATGGCGAATCCCTTCGTTAGAACTGCAGGACAATTAATGTTCACCTGGAGTCTGGTGGGGATAGAGTTGGAAACGCTGACCTCGTATGACAGGCTGAAGTTGGGAAGCAAGAAGCTAGATGTGTATCAGGCACTGATGCAACACGTAGCCAGGGATAATTCAGGCTTGAGCCTGGCTAGAAGAAAGGATGCCACGTGTTTCTTGAGATGGATAATGTCGATGATGTCTGATAGCACCATCCTGGCATGCCAACAGAGAGCAAGCGTAAGCAAAACCATGGAAAAAAGAGTTTCAACGGTCATCTTGAACTTGTATCAGAGCACAGGAATAGAAAAGGAAGAGGGTTCCAGACTATCCCTAGAGAACCATAGGAAGCTAGACGAGGTACGGAGGTTTTATAATAAGAAGTTCGAAGAAGAACATGATGTTCACCGTAACCTGGCCTCGTCAGAGCAGTACTCGAGGCTCAGCGAGAAGGGGGAATACCAATATGTGTCTGGAGTGATGGGAATGGCCTACAACCCCTTCTTAGACTCGGAAGCTGGAGGCGCCCACAGGAACCATGAGGTAGCGGAGCTACTGAAGTTTTGGACAGAAAGAATAATGGAAATAGACGCGGTGGAAAAAGAGGGGCCGAGCCTGGGCCTGATTCTTGAGAAAACACCAGAGGTGGTGAGCATACCGCGTTCAAACAAGAGAGTTGAAGTGAACATGGGCGATGGAAATGGCTTGTTAACCACGAACTTGGGAGTGGTATGGAAGCTATTAAGACCCTCCTGGTGTCCACATCCCCACGCGAGTCTGATCGAGGAAACCACCGAGCGAGTGAGGTTAGCACCAACGGAAGATGACGATCTGGCAAAGTTGAGTGTGCTGCATAAGCTAATTTCACCTCAGATGCAAGAGCCAGGCGAAAAGACGAGTAATCCCGGGTCAGCAAAGAAATTGGAGCCGGGTAGCTGTCTGGATTCGACGTGTGGAAACGGAGAGCACACCTGCGATGGACGGTCATGCGTTAGAATACTGTCATTTCAAAAAGAAGACCTGGTCACTTGGTTCGAAGACATAACAGAAAGGGAGAAAAGTGAAGTGCAAATAGTAGCGGAGTGTTACGCGAGAACCACGGTGAATATAGCGACAGCTCTCGGATTCTTCTCGAGAATGTGTAGTCTGCAGTCACTGGAAAGACTAGAATCTGAACATCATTTAGTGACGGCGTTGAGCGTAGAATCATGGCCCGGGGTGTTGCAGGTGACTCAAAAACACACCCGGAGCTGGAAGGTTGGTCTCGAGGCGGAAATGGGATTTCCCATGAGCGAAGCTTATGGCTTGCCATTGAACGCGAAATCGCTGATAGGGTCAATGATGGCCAACTTGTGCGGAAGTCACTACCCACTGCACATGGTGATGGTGGAAGCATCCAGCCAGAGAGTACTGGTGGACAAGGCCTTCTCAGTGCCCAAGTGCGTGAGGTTGGCTCGGATATCGCATCACTCGCACAAGTTGTTGAGAAAAATCAGAGGGACAGTACCAAAAGAATTGAGAGATGACTTGAGTGAAATCTGGGGAGAAGAACTTTTGAAGTTGGAGAGAGAGAACACAAGCGATCACGAGAGACAAAACGTGATCGGAAAACCTGTGGGAAGTGCTCCAAACCTGGAAGATAACGACACGATGCATGAGAAAATGATGGAGCTTGAGCCTCTCTTGGAAGCCTCGGGGGAGCGTAACCTCAGGAGCATTGAAATCACCCATGGAGAATGCCCATGCTACTGTTTAGCGCAAACGGTGTGGTATCCAGATCACAAGAACCTTTGCCTGGTGTGGGATATGGAAGAAATCCGGTCGATCGGACTACCGGATCACCGACAGAAGGTGACGATCTTGGTAGTGAGTACGATGTTGGCTCTGAGATGGATAGAAGAGAATATAACGAAGTATCGGGAAGCGGGGACGCCAACGGCTGAGTCAATATACGCGATAGACTACAGTAGGAGACTCGAGTTGTTTGAGACTGCGTGCAAGGTATTCGCCATACCAACGGAAGTCAGACATGTCTGGAGCCGTTTGAGGTACTTCCCATGGTTTCGGGCGACGCTGACGTCCTGGTTGTACATGACAACGAAAGATCACATGAGAAAACATCGAAAAGAGTATCGACAGTTCCAGGCCGAGATTGGGCCGGAAGCTTTCAAGAGACCCCTGTTAACCCATCGTAATGCAATCACGACAGGATGGAAGAGAGTGGGTAAAATGTCTAGAGACAATACCAAGGCGAGGGAATCGATACTAGAGGAGGACCTGGCGAAGAACGTGAGCTTGAGCCTGCACAACTCCTTTTGTTTGAACCGGGAATCTAGGGTGAAGGCACTACCCAACCAGGCAAAGAGGTTGCAAGAGCAAAGAGAATGGATGCGATCCTACGAACAGCTGAAGGCTTGGGAGGAGATTGTGATTAGCTCCGATGATGAAGAGGAACTGTTGAGACAGTTTGCCGTATCTAGTAATTCAGGGTGCAGTACCTCCAAGGCGAAGAGTGCGAGATGAGCAGGTGGCTCGAATGGATCTTGAGTCTTGAGAGGGAAAGGGGGGCTTGAGCGTGGATCCGGGTGAAACTTGGATTCACGAAAAAGAAGTTTTAACAAAGCAAATATTGTTATTAATATACTATATTTATTATATAAATCAAAATGCTGCATGACAATTTCCTGATTGAATAGGACAAAAGAAATTTTAAATGATTGGCTTGGAAAGCAAGAATTTAAAGGTGCAGGTGTGTGCAGATTTTGATTGCTGTTTAGCGATAGTGTGAAAATTTTACATGGCTGTGAATTTTGGGGTGTAGATAAGCTCGGTAGATAAGCAAAGATCAAAAAGATGTGCTAGGCTCCAACTTCATCAAAGATGCCGGAGGACAATTAAAGTGGAACCTGCTGAAGTGCAGGAAAGATGGAGAGGTTATTTTGAAGATCTATTGAACAGGGAAAACCAAAATAAACTTGAGGAAACCCCTGCAGTACATGGTCCACTAGAAAGGGTCACAAAAGCAGAAGTATCTCTGGCACTGAAACACATGAAGAGCGGCAAGGCTTCGGGTCCCTCAGAAGTCATCTCAGAAATGTTCAAGATTGCTGACCAGGGTTCTGCTACGTTGTGCTCGGTATTCAACAACATCATGAGAAACGACATAACTCCTGATAAGTGGGCCGAGAGCATCACAATACCCTTAAACAAGGGCAAGGGTGATGCTTTGGAGTGTGGCAAATACAGAGGACTCAGGCTATTGGAGCATGGCATGAAGATTTGGGAGCGTATTCTAATGCGCAGGCTGGGTGACCGCATCAAGATCAGCCTACAACAGTTGGGTTTCGCTGACGGAAATTCCACAACCGACGCTATCTTCATTGCTCGCCAATTGCAGGAGAAGTATTTGCAGAACAAGAAAGAGCTCTACCACATCTTTGTAGACCTAGAGAAGGCCTTTGATAAGGTTCCACGTCAGGCTGTATCATGGGCACTCAGAAGGCAAATGGTACCAGAATACCTGGTCAAAGCAGTAATGGGCCTGTACACTAACTCTTCGTCTCGAGTTAGATTTGCTGGGGGTGGGGTTCTGTCTGAGAAATTTCCAATCAGGGTCGGTGTCCATCAAGGCTCAGCATTTAAGTCCTCTGCTGTTCAAGATTGTGATGGAAGAAGCCACCAAAGAGGTACGGATAGGTGACCCTTGGGAGCTGTTATATGCTGATGACCTGGTGTTGTCAGCGGACTCTAAGGAAGGTGTTACAAAAATGTTCAAAGACAAATAGTGCAGTGGAGCTCCGTGGGATGAAGGTGAATATTGGCAAAACCAAACTGTTGACATCAGGGAAGATAAGTAGGGAGGCAACATCATCTGGTCAATATCCCTGTGCAGTGTGTAACCATGCGGTAGGAGTTAACACAATTTTCTGCACCAGGTCAACGAAATCTATTTGATGTGAGATCCGAGTGCTTTGAGATTTCAACTAAAATAAATCGCAAAACAGTTGACATATTCAATCACCACGAGCGAGAGAAAATTAGAAATTACGAGGAAAGAATCCTGAATTCAGCTCATGCCACTTTCATCTATTCTTCAAGCGGTGACTGCAGTAGCCTGACCTCAACATTAATTTCTCAATTGGTAGTCCTGAAATCTGATAAGCGCAGCACTTCCAACACCAAAACGATCTCCTACTCCAAAACAAACAAACTTTTGCATTATGAGAGGCACACTATTATGTATAAGAGGGTCGCGGAGTCGGACTAATTTTAGCGAAGAAATATCCAGCAATAAGTCTCTAGCAAATCACGAATGACCCGTCATGTGCAACTTCCTTCTAGAAGAAGAAAAATATTTGTGCCAGTCGGTCATATTCGGAAGTTTGACCTTGAGAGAAGCAAAAAACACTTGATTTTGGAGTGAAATTTAATTTTTCAAAATTTCGAATGGGACCTGTCATGCACGATTTTTTCGCGATAACTGAAAATCAGAAAAGAGAAGTCAGAACGATCGAGTGACAATCGCGGGAAAGTTGCTAGAAAAATCAGTGGGAAATTGCTATTCGCAATTTCAGTAGCAATAATAATCGAGAGTAGAGCTGTCCCATCTGAAACAGAGACGAGCGCATTCCCACGAACTGGACTGTTGTGACTGGAGTACTATTATTAACTGGACCAGAGTGAACCTTAGGTGGAAAGGTGGACAGCCAGAGTGTCCCAATGGTTCACGAGAACTCACAGTCTAGAGTAAAAAACTTGTTTTGTTATTGAAACTGACTAACATTAAACTCATCTTAGTTACTTTATTGATTCTTGAGTTGCTTACCGACTTATTTACTTCCTGGTTCTTGAGAGTGCTACAATGTGAGTACTAATTTAAATTTCTAGAGTGTGTTTTATGATCGTTATGTTGAGGTAAGGCGAGTTTTAGGTTGATCCATCTGAAATGGATCAAAGTTCCACTGTCTAATAAAGAGTAACTTAACGGATTGTTCCAACCCGGTTTTTAACGGCGTTCATGTATTTTGGGTATCTAGAGACCTAAGTATGGGGACGTTTCTAATTCTAGAGTGGGGGGATATTTTAGTAGTAGCCTTTAAGCTGTAATGGGTCTTAGTCTCATGTCACAAGCGAACCGAATTGGCTCCGACTGATTTGAGGTACAAAAACACAAGAGATAGTGTCCCTGACTCTTGAGCCAATGGTTATAGGGCCTATTTTTCTTAAGCCTCATGTGTGACTGCAGTAGACGAATGTTACAATTAAATTAACATCTGAAAATAACATCAGAAATAGTAAAAATAAGAAACTGTGATGGAATGATGAATAAGTCTCTATTTTTGGATTTACAAATTAGTATTGACAAAAGCAGGAAAATTAGCTGTGGGTGGTATCAAAAACCAACAGATACAGGTACCATACTCAATTTCAGAAGCTGCGCCCCCTTCAGTACAAGAGAAGTGTGATTGAAGGAACTGTTCACCGGGTTTTCCGCAGTACGTCAACATGGGAAGAATATGATAAAGCCATGAAAATCAACCGTGAGCAATGGTTGGATAACCAATATCCGGAAAGTTGGTCGTCGCGGGTTGCATCCCATGCCCTTGAAAATATCATCAGCAAGGGCAAAAACAAAAAGAACATGGCTGAGAAAAAGAAGCCCTGTGATTATAGCAGTGATTCACCACCCATCTTGATGGTCCAATATAGGGGGAATCACAGTCAGACATTAGCAAAAAAAGTGCGCGATATCACCAATGCGCTGATAATATTCACGACGAGTAAATTGAAAACTTGTATGCCCTCTCTAAAATCCTCCTTTTCCAGTGAACTGAAATCAAAAGTGGTGTACAGACTTGAATGTTGTGGGTGCAAATCCATCTATGTTGGCCAGACGGTCCGACATCTCACCACAAGGATTGAGGAACACCAAAAAGAGGATACCCCAGTTGGGCAGCATATAAGGCAGTGTGGTAGTGAGCGTGGTAAGTCTGAGTTTAATTGGAAAATAATCGACCAGGCGTCCAGCAGCATCAAGTTACTTACATTAGAGGTGCTGCACATTAGGAAAGAGAGACCGGCAACTAACACGCGCGACGAGTTTAGAAGTAGGGAGCTGACACTAAGGCTATAGTTCCAGAATCAAAAAATTCTGGCTAAAACTACAAAATTTTGAAACAACTTACATGTTATCATAAAAATTAGCCACAAAACGAAAATTTGAAAATCAAAATGAAGAAAACTCTCAGAAATTTGTGACAAAATGTTTTAAAATGTTACATACTAGTTGTTACATAACTTCAGTGATATTTGTAAAGTTTTGATTGGTTGAATTTTTAAAACTTTGAAGTAATGATGTGTGTGACACTTTTTATGATCTTTGATCATTTTGTACAGATAGTTTAGAATTTTAAAACCTGAAGATGCACAAAATGTGCGAAAACGTTTGTTTGAATTTACAATTTTAACGCATTCTCGGAATGATGAAGTCAAGCGAGTTCACCAGTGCCTTGGTCCTTCTGGCTTTAGCCTTGGGTCAGTTTCTAAAATTTCTTCATAAGTCTGTCAGTAAACATAGATCCATACACCTTTTTGACTGCCACTTCCGCAGTCGGTAGCCGTTTTCTTAACCTTTCGGAACAGTAATCGCGCCTATGCGGCAACATGTCATATAGTTGATTCTTCGAACTAGTTTTAGTGATAATATTCAGAAGTCTCGGGAGATAGGAACAAATTCTTTTATAAAACCCATATGAACAGCACGTTTTTGAACATCGTCCGCTATTCTAGGAACCGTTTTCGCAGCGCCGCCTCATACTTCCAAGCCGTATGTTAAGACTGATAGAACAAGTGACTGATATAGCAAAGAAAGGTCATCTGCACGATATCCCAATCGCTTTAGTTCAAGAAGCAGGAACAGGTTTGAGGAAGCTCTACTGGTTGTCTTGGACACAATTTATTTTAATCTTATGTCACAGATCGAAGCCAATTTGTTAGAGTTAACAACGAATTTTCTTGGGAAATTAAAATAACAAGTGGAGTACCTCAGGAGAGTATTATTGCGTCATTACTTTTCTTTGTTTTTGTGAACGACTTGCCTTCAAAATGCGAATGTCTTTTCCCTCTCATGTTTGTTAATGATGCGACATTTATAAGCATTGGAACAGAGCCCAATTTAGTACAAAAAGATTTAAACGCACTTTTGAAATGGACTGAAACAAATCACATGTCTTTAAACATGGATAAATGTGCTCATGTTTCTATCAACAGTAATGAAAAGAATTTTTTCGGAAATCACGTGAATCAGATTAAAGCAATCAGGTTGAGGTTTGATACTCTCGAATGACCTTAAATGGGGTCAACACATCAAAAAAGTCAATAAGATGGCAATAAAAGTTTTCTTCATGTTCAAACGTAACCTTTCGAATATATATTGGACAACGAAGCTCAATCTGTATAAGTCAATGATAGTGCAAGCATTAGTTTACGGAAGTCCTTGCTATGGGTTGGGCAAAAACTTAATGGCTATGATAGAAAATGTACAGAAGCGCATCGTAAAGTGGATATCACAAAATGGGGGAAGCTACAAAGCTTGTCTCGATATTTTGGGATTTTTACCGCTCCCTGTGTACATTCAAGTAAACAAAGTTTTGTTATTGTCCAAACTGATTTTGGGCAGATATGATAACGAACTAGTTTCTATGATAACGAACCTTTCTACACAGATTCCTTGCGCTTCAATCTGTTTTTGCTGCAGAGACCAAGAAAGAGAATCTTGGAAGAAAAATTCGTCTATCAGACATGCAGACTAGCAATATTTGTAAAATAAAAATTGATCTGCGTCAGAAAAACGGACTGAAGAAATCGATTTTACGTGTTTTCTGGAGAAAATTTGAAGATTATGAGGAGTTGAATAAATGCAAGTGGAGAGTTGGCTGTGACTGCTTGATAAATAACTGCAGAAACAAGTAAATATATAGAACTCGCAAACTGACTGGGGTGATAGCCCCTTGTGCTGGCCAGCACAGAAGCCCTACTACTACTGTAATAGAAAAATTAACCCGCTGTCTTTAATATACCCCAAAATTTTCATATTTTCAACCAACGGTATGCTTTCGATATCTGAGCAGATGAAGGGTACCTTCTTCTTGAAATTGAACCTGGTTTCTTTGGATTTAAGGGTGCTGAGAATAAAATTATGATCCATACACCACTTGAAGATTCCTTCATTAATGATTTGACTAGGGTCGTCGAGTCCTATAACGCCGATTACCGGATTGTTGTCAGCAAACTTAACTAGACAAGCATTTTCGTAAAGAGACTTCAAGTCGTCGAACGACATATTGAAGGACATACAATTTGTTTCTAAACCATCATGATAAAAAATTAGCCAATCACAGTTGACCTCTAAATTACTATTAAGATTAAAATATTTTTAACCTCTAAAATTAATTAAACATTTTAAAATTAATTTGTCTGGAAGTTTCTGAGTCATAATTTCGATTTAGACATGTACGATTTGAATAAAAAACCAAAAATATTTTGGGACTAAATTTTCAGTGTTAACTCCCTGCTCCTAAACTCATCGCGCGTGTTCAAGCCCGGTTTCTCTTTCCTGATATGTATTGCCTCTAGTTTTAGCAATTTTGTTTGGTTGTTTGACCTATCTATAAATTCCCAACTAAGACCTGCGCTATTTCCCTCAAGTTGGCATTGCTGAAGGTGGAGGCCTACCGGTGAGTCTGCTTTCTTATGTTCCTCAATTCTAGAGGCAAATGTCGAACAG